TGTGTCTTCAGAATTAAAAAAAAAAAGACACAGAAAAACAAACGCTCAATCATTCTGAGAAAACTTACAGTGCCATACTCCGGCTCATTCGTGACGTACGTCTTCTGCAGGTTGTCAAAAGCCTCCAGCACATCCAGAATAATCTTCTGCCTCTCCGGCGTCATGCTCACAACCCCTCTGAAGGGCCGGAAGCCATGCCAGTACCGATGCGACACCTCCGGGGTGAAGGCGTCCGGAGACATGCTGGTCAACACGGTGCGGTCGTCGATTCGACCCTCCTGCCCCTCGTCCTCGCTGTCCGCTCGCCTGTGGCACCCGTAGGCGTCACACGAGTTGTCGATGCCGAGGAAGACGCGGTTGATCTCGTGCAAGAGCGTCGAGTCCCGGATAATGTTGCTGTTGAAGCTGTCGTCGAAGAGTCCGCACGGGGACTGGCCGGCGGGTGCGGCCACTATTGTGGCTTGCTGGTGGGGCGTAGACACCTGCTGGGGGATCTGACCGGGGGAGGGGCTGTACAATCGCCGCTGGATGGCGTTGATGTTCATACTACTGTTTATGCTGTTGTTATTATTGTGGCTATTGTTGTTGTTTACTAGGTTGTTGCTGTCCGTGGCGAAGTTGTTCGCCATTGTCATGGGCACGAGCCCCGCACTGCTGTGGGGCCGCTGCGGTTGTCGGAGTTCAACGGAGCTTTCCGAGGCGGGAGATGATTGGTTGCTGTAAAGCTGCCTGCTCTGGGGGCGGAGCCCAGACGTTTGGACTACAGGGCTAGGAGGCTGGTACTGATGCTGTGGCACGGACGCCACGGCGGGCGGGGTCAGTCGACTGAAGCCAGGGGACTCGTCCGAGTCACGATTCACCTGGAACGTTTTCTGCTGCCTTCTGAGATCGGCGATGTGCTGCGCGGAGATGGACCTTTGACCTTTCGGGCTGACTTGCGTGGTGTCGATAAGTTTTTGGGCTCGGGCCTGCTCAGCGTTGACGGTGTTGAAGAGCTCCTCAATTTCCTCCGGGGAAAGTTGCACCGTGCGACCTGCCTGAATCGCTTCTCGATGCTGCTGGAGGATGGCCAGAATCGAACTCCGACCACTGGGGGTTGAGGGCTGCTGCTGCACAGCAGCGGGGGGTGAGACGCTGGATGTTGGGGTGACAGGAGCGGGTGGGGCAAGAGATGGGGGATTGGCGTGTGACGTCGATTTCTGGTAGTGAGCGGGGGATTCGCTGACTGCAGAAAGCGGAGTGTGGGAGCCTGAAGGGCCGGCTTCCCTTGACGTCGTGAGAGGGGAAGTGGTGGTGAAGGCTATGCTGGTGTCTGCAACATAATGTTGCTGCTGCTGCTGTTGCTGCTGCTGCTGTCGCTCTTGCTGCTGTTGCTGTTGTTGATGTTGTTGTTGTAGTAGTATGGGGTCGCTGACACTCGTAAAAACACCACTAGTAGAAAGAGATGAGGGGTTTCCTTGGCTGTGAGAGACAACCGTGACGTCGTCTGGGAGGTGCTCGGGTCGGAAGGCGGAGCCACGGCTGATGGTGACCTGCGAGTGACCTCCATCCAGCGTCAGGGGAGTGTGGCTGAGATCCAAGTTTCGTTGGAGAGGGTCATGGCCCTGCTGGGTCAGAACAACATCATCGTGACCTCGACCTAAATCAGGTGGTTGAGTATCCAGCTGGCTCTCGCCCAGGGAGTCTGCCTTGCTGATGGCCGGGGGGTTAGCGTGCTCGCTGTGGTGTTGTATCAGGTGCGGGATTCCGTCCTGCACCAGAATCTGCTCGTGTGGCTGCGGTGTGTAGATCATACTCTCTGATGTCATATTGATAGCCACGATCTGAGAGCTCACGCTGGGCTCCAGCTGGGAAATGGGCACAACCGTGTTACCAACTGGGGGAACGGACGCCGAGCGCTGCTGGTCCGTCAAGCTGTAGGCGCCGCTAGCTGTAGGCATCGTCTGCATGTTGAAGGAATGGAATTCCGCTTTGCACAACGTTTGAAGGTTCTTCATGTCCTCCAGGACCACTTCTCCATCGGCAAAAGAGGACGGGACTTGGCTTCCTGTGATGTTCTCCACTTTGACTGGCCGATTGACGGGAAGGTCATGGTCGTCCGGGAAGTCAAGGCCACTGATGATGTCTATGTTGTTGTTAGAGGCTGTGATTTTCAAGTCCCGAGGCGCCATCGAGACAGGCGAGGTCTGGAACGGTGTCACCTGTCTGGCAGGCTGCTGTTGTTGCTGTTGTTGTTGCATTTGGTCGGATAACTCCCCGTGGAAGTGGTTCATCATCTGTAAATGATGGTGCTGCTGCTGCTGCGGCTGCTGTTGCTGAGGCTGTTGTGGTTGTTGTTGCTGTTGAGGCTGATGGCCTTGAAACTGAATCTGCTGTTGCTGTAAATTCAGCACGTCTGGATGCAAGCTGGGACTAGTGCGACGTAAGTGTGGACTGGGCGCTGTTTTCAGCTCCTCGGACAAACTCCCCACAGATACGCTGCCCCCAGACGAGGACGTGATGACTACCGGGTGACCCACCATCGACCTTTGACCCCCGTGACCTCCAGAGTGCAGGGAATCCATGTCCGACATCTCACTGTTCTGATCCCAGTCCTGAACGGTCATGCAGTCGTGGAGGATGCTACCCAAACTGAAACCTGCCTGCTGCTGCTGTTGCTGTTGTGGTTGTTGCTGCTGCTGGTGTTGCGGTTGGTGATGTTGAAGCTGCTGATGGACATGTGCAGGAATCTGTTGATGCCCTGCGGCCATGTTATGGTCTTGAGCAGTCACATGATCAAACACGTCGTCTGGATTGGATATATCCTCTTGCTCGTACTCGCTAGATACGGAAGAACGATTTGAGGCTGTCATCGGAGGTCGCTCGTACGTCTTGGCCATTGGCTTCACACCCAGTTTTTTAAGGGGCTTCCGCATTAACTCTCCTTTCTTTGGTCGCCCCATCTTGATAGCTAGGGGAAAGAAAGAAAGAAAGCCAGTTGAATAGAACGTTCAAGTATATAGCAGATAAAAGAACGCGAGAAACATAACTGATCATGATGTTGGGTCTGCTGCTGCTGCTGCTGCGTTGTTGTTGATGTTGTTGTTGTTTGGTTTTTGTTGTTGTTGTTGTTGTTGTTGTTGTTGTTGTTGTTGTTGTTGTTGTTGTTGTTGTTGTCAGCATGTTCAAGTATATAGCAGATAAAAGAAAGCGAGAAACATAATTGATCATGATTTTGGGTCTGCTGCTGCTGCTGCGTTGTTGTTGTTGTTGTTGTTGTTGTTGTTGTTGTTGTTGTTGTTGTTGTTGAGGCTGATCGTAATGTCCTTTCATAATGGAAATTAAATTGGATTTGATGTCCTATCAGAATGGACGGAAAAGAAAGGAAATGGGAACTGACCGCCATGATATTTTGGGAAGAAAGGAGGTAAATGGGTAATGACATGCCATGCTAAAAATTGTTGAAAAAAAGAAATAAAGAGAGGAAATGGGTTAAGACATCTCAGTATATTATTGACAGAAAAGAAAACTGGCAAAGAGCTAGTGAATTTCTAGTTTGACAATAAATTTAACAGGGGGAGAGAGGCGGTCAAAACTATTCTCGAAGAGAGTACATAGATTATGGTGTCCCATTTCGATACCTGACCGATAAAAAAGATGGTACATCGGTCATGGCATCCCATTTCGATAAATGACAGATAAAAAGAAGATGGTACATAGATCCTGACGTCCCATTCCGAAAAAACAGGAACAAGAAGACGTGACAGAGGCCAGGGTTATGAAAGAAAGGAGTATATTAAAAGGGAAAAACAGATCAGGAAGAGTTACACAACAGGCATACGGCTCCCTCGAATACAGCAGACCCTGCCCCACTCACACACACCCATTTCCACTTTGCCAACTCTTATTTCTCCTATAAACCCTTCCCTTCTCCCAATTCTATTTTAGTTAAGTAAACCCAGTCCCTCACACACAAAAGCAAAGTACATGCTGACAATCGCTGAAACAAACACGCGGGCGCTCTCTAATTTCAAGGACCAAGGGCGTTGCCGAAATGGTCGTGAGTTCGTATCCACAACAAAAAAGCGTAATTCTATCATCTTATCTCGGCCGATCGTGTGTTTTATCGGCTGCTTTTGCCTGTGGCCGTCCAGATCAATAGCCACCATCTGTCGATTCCCAGCGCGCTGTGTAAATAGTCGTTCTCATCTCGCGGCTGGCCTGAGGACAAGATGTCTTGTACCACTGTCGCTAACGACTAACTTCATCAAGATGAAAGTGAGAGTGATGTTGACGGTGTTCTGAAGATGATGTTGAGGAGACTGATAGAACAGACGTGGAGAAAAGGGGCTGGTGGTGAAAGAGGTAGATAGATGGATAGACAGACAGATAGATAGATAGCACAGACACAAATATCAAATCAATACTAACAAGCAAATGAACAGACAGACAGACAGACAGACAGACAGACAGACAGACAGACAGACAGACAGACAGACAGACAGACAGACAGACAGA